TGCAGCTGGAATGAATAATCTCCTTTAAGTCTGAAAGCATGGATCTTAAACGGAAAAAGGGAAATTTCCTCAGGTCAATATTTTTCCGGGTCCATGAGTGAAGGGAGAATGGAGTGGGAGATCCAGAGATGGATTGGTGTGGCTTGGTGCAACAAAACACGTGGTACACATTAATGGGCCGCTCTGGTGTGGCAAAGAGACGAGCCAAAAGCCAAAGCTTAATGCTTATCAGTCAATCTTTGCTCATTTCCTCATATGTTGTCCTGCCATCTGGATCAGGACCCGAAGAAACAGATCCTGGATCCAAGCTTCCACTGCAGGGAGGCTGGGCTCTCCCTTATAGAGAGGGGGAGGAGCTGGGTCATCAGAGTAGAGCTCCTGCTCCTCCACATCCAGAGGAGGCCGCTGAGGTGGCTGGGCCATCTGTACCTGATGTCTCCTGGACGCCTCCTTCACACCTGTCCCTGTGGAAGGAGGCTCCTGAAACACCTCAGGCTTCCTGCAGCAGAGCTGGAAGAGGAGTCTGGGTGCTAGGGGGAGGTCCAGGAGTCTCTGCTGGCACGGTTGCCTTGGCAACCGGGGCCTATGTAAGAGGAAAATTATCACAACGAGGATCATTCATAATGTGGGCTCTAGGTGTCACACAAATACATCCTTTCTACGGTCCTAAATTTTACATTTTCAGATCTGGTTCAACATTTAACCATTTTAACAGTTTATAGAGCAAAATATAATCAGTTACTGAAAGAGAAGGGGTTAATAATTAAGAGGTAGGTTGGAACATAAAAATGGAGGGACACTCGTGACCTGGAAGAGGCTTTATGTTCTGGTTTATGGAACGCTTTAAATGTGGAGCGGAGGGAATACACGGATATGAGACGTTGAAAACAATTTGAAGGAGATGATTCTGTCCCAATGCAGGGAGGGGGGCTCATGACAGTCACATTTACTGGGAAGGAAAGCCATACTTGTTTCTCCATGCTTTAAACCAAATTAATGATTTATATGTACACGAGTAAGCTATCTATAAATGTACACATGTTTACTGTATTTACTGTTTCAATGAGTTTCCAGGTCAATCAAGATCGAGTTAGAAATGTTTGTTCAGTGAAACTTTCCAGTGAACCTGAATGACTCATTTAGTGTTTTATATACTGTAATGTGGCACTTTAGAGATGGGAGTGACAAATTGAGATTTGCTCCTATTCCCCTGTAGAGATTTATTGTTGTGATGGAAGAGAGAGTATTGTTTCTTGCATGGTCGACATTTAAGGAAAATAAATCCAACAAATCAAAACAAAGGTTTCATTACAAAACAAGACGTTCTATGATTATAAAAACCCAATAAAGAAAAGCTAATTTCACTTTCAGTTCATAATACGGGTTTGTTTTCTCTTTGATTATATTGATTGTTGTCATAATTAGTGTTGAGTCCCAAAAGCAGCTATAACAGAGCAGAAAGAGGTTAAAAAATGTTTATTGGACAGGAGACAGCTGATCGGGGTAGGGAGTCCGGTTCTGCTCTAGAAGAGCGGACGTGTTAGAGCTCTGCTAACAGATAAATTGATCAGATGGTTTAGATGTGGCAGCTGGCTGTTCCAGCAGTAAAAGCCATTGGAAGGTGGACAGGCAGGTGAAGGATCTGAGGAGCTTTCAGGTGAGTGTTTGCTGGAGGGAAGATAGAGCAGCGAGCACAAGACTCAGGTAGAGACTAGGCCAAGGATCCAGAGAAAAATCAACCAGGAGGAACTGCAGGGGAGGACAAAGTAGAAATCTGCTGGTGAAGATTCTCAGTCATCTGGGTTATAGTCATCTCAAAAAGGTTCAAAAACAATCCACTGGACTTTTTTTCAATGCAAAATGTTAGCATTTAGTTCCAGGTTTTATCCAGCAGCCCAACAAGCCTTGTTTTGGTTCAGAAAACATGCAAATAGAAACGGACAAACGGGTCCAGCCCGTCCAAGTAAAGGCTTTAGACGAGTGAAGAGGTTCTCAGCTCATTTGGTCTCTGCAGGGAGTGAAATGTGGATCAAGGCTGAAATAATGACATCACTGATTCTGAATTGAGCCTCCTCTTTAGCACGCTGCAAAAAGTGCAAAAAACCCCTAAATGAGTCAATTTCTCTGAAAATAAGGGATTTTTTTTCTTGAATTGAGGAGGTGAGACACTTTCTTGATGGAAGAAGAAAATTTACATTTTACAGAACAAAAAATATAGTAGCATTGTCCTATTTCAAGTGCATATATTTATATTATTTCAAGAGAAAAGATACTCCTTCCTTGACTGATCAGATGTTTTAGCTAGTCAAATTATGGTAAATACACTTAATTTAAGATTTTTTTTCTTATTTCTAGATAGTTTTTGCACTGCAGGTGTCACCATCTCCATTCATCCAGGAGCTGCTATTCTGCAATGTTTAAATAAAAGGCTGCAAACAGCTTCAGAACTAGTGGCAAAAGATCAGACATTAAAATGCAGCTGAGATATTTAGGAATTAGAGCAAAGGTGTTTCTGGAGGGAGGGAAGTCTGGATCCGTGGTCCCAATGATCTGAATAGATTTAAGACATTAGTGGGACGTAATGATTGGACTTTTTAGATCCAACATTTCTAAGTGGGTCCTGTAGGGCCGCTGTCCTGCAGGTTTTACAGGTTTCCAGCAGCTGCAATCATCAGAATCAGCTGTGTTTGGAAAAGAGGGAAAAATGTAGATTTTATTGTAAAGAAATTAAAAGAGATTATTATGGAAATTGAGAAATGGGCATTGCGATGGGTTTCAGTGGAAAGAACAAAAGTGATGATATTTAATCAGAAAGAAATAAAAAAGGACATAAAATTAAAATTATATAACCAAAAATTAGAGCAAGTAAAGTGTATAACAACATTTTTAGGACTATTGTTTGATGAGAAACTAAAATGGAATATACATATAAAAAAAAAATGTTGATAAATGTAAGAAAGTCTTAAATATTTTGAGCTGCTTGGCTGGCAGTGACTGGTGAGCAGATAAACAATCACTAAAACAGATTTATACAGGTATGATAAGATCTAATATAGACTTTGGTTGAATAGTTAAACTAAAGTTAAGCTAAAACACATCTGGCTAAATTATCCAACATCAGGCATTAAAATGATGTACTGGAGCGTTTAAAACCACATCAATAGCTGCAATGCAAGGAGAAATGGGAGAAATGCCGTTAGATTTAAGAAGAACCAAACTAGAAATAAATTATTGGTTAAATATAGAAGGTAATAACTCTGATCATCCAACTCGGGAAATTTTAAATCCATGTTGGGAAAAAGAAAAGAAAGAAATTAGGAGTTTTGGATGGACAATTGAAAACAAAATAAAAGAATTTAAAATGAGGAATTTAGAAATCACTCGGACAGCAATATCAGTTCTACCACCATGGATTCTACCAGAAGCAATAGCAGATCTTTTACTAATGGAAAAGAAACAGTACATGGTAGATATTAATTTAGTACAGTTCCATTTAGACAGTTATTATTAATATATTCACATTTATACAGATGCATCAAAAATAACAAGGAAAATAGGAATAGTTTTTATAATACCAGAATTCAATATAAAAATAGGAAAAGGAATTTCAGATGGATTATCAGGATAAACAGGATAAATGTTGGCAATAATATTAGCTTTACAGTCGGCAGAAGACATAAAACCATTAATAACAGTAATTTGTTCAGATTCACGCCCTGATCTAAAAAGTTTAAAATATAATCAGATAATAGGATGGCCATTCTATTAGAAATATTTCATACATTATTCAGAATAAATAATATGTGTTTGATAGTTGTATTTGTGAGAGTTTCAGCACATATTGGAGTAGAAGGAAACCAGAGGGCAGATAAAATGGCAAAGAGAGAAATTCATTAGTTTTACAGTTAAAACAAGTCAATCAGAGGGAAAGAGTTTTATAAAGAAAAACTGATGGAAAAATGGCAAAAAAGTGTCATGAAGAAAAAACAGGAAGAAGTTTTTATAAAAATCAGAAGATAGTAAGAAAAAGAAGAAATGGAAGCAGAATAGAAAGGAGGAGGGAGAGATAACGAGGTTAAGATTTGGGCAAACAGGACTTAATTAAACACTTTTCTACTACAAACTACTGGAAAATTTAATTACTGTGGAAAATATGAAACAATAGAACATTTTATACTGGAATGTCATCAACATGAAAGAGAGAGAAGATCTACGAGGAGAGAGTTTGAATGAAAAGATTCATTTATTAGATATTTTGAGGAAGAATTTGGAGAGTAAACATATACAAATAATGATTCCATTTTTAAAGAAAACAAAATTATTTCATAGAATTTGATTATAGAAAGGGTGAATGTGTGTATGAGTTAGATGGGTAGAACAATAAGTATGTCATTTTTTTTTCTTAGAAATTATATATATGTTTATTAGTAGATAGTCCATCACTAACTACACTCCATACCAGTAAGTGCCAATAAATCCAAGAAGAAGAAGAATCAGCTGTGCTAAAGCAGAGAAACCTCTAAAACCTGCAGGCCAGCGGCCCTCCAGGACCCACTTTGGGGATCCCTGTTTTAGATCATAAAGTAAATCAGCTTTCTAATTTCAAGGCCCTTAAATCCTTTTGACTGCTTTATAAACCACCCTCACTTTCTGCCCTGATCACTCAGGCAGGTTGCAGTTCATGGTCTGTTTTAGGGCCTCAGAAAGATTAGAACAGCAGTGGAAAAATAATGTCTTTATCCTGCATAATGAGTCTTTATCTGGAATCATATTAAAACACAGAGTGTTGGTTATAAAAGGCTGATGGGTAAAATAAAAAGCTGATGTGGTTTCGGTGGAATTTGGCTGTTATGGATCCTCCGTGTTTCAGCCTGTATGATGGGAACCTGTAATTAGCTGACTTCTAAAGAAGTCACGAACTGGCAGGTTAGTTGTTTTCTGCCACGCCAGCCTCAGGTAACCCCACACCGTAGGGGCGGGACGACTCTTTGCTGCTGTGTGTGGTTCTGTCCAATGTTTTAAAGCCTCCTTCCTGAAACTGTTCAGACCAGACAAGGAAAAAGTGCAACACGACAGAGTTTGTATTCTGAAACCACTGGACTTTTCTGGGTGACTATGACCCGACGGAGCAGGTCCTTTCTGCTGTTAATTCTGTTTGGGGTGAGTCCAGATCAGTTTTTTTTTTGTTTAAAACTACTTTTTGAAACAAAATCCTCTTTTCCCTCAGGTAAAAAGGTGCATGTTTAGTTAGAGAGCGCTGGGTGTGGCCGGCTTTCAGTGAAATTCCACGCTCACGCAGTATTTACTGACTGTAAAAAAAACAGCTGGATGTCCTTAAATGTCTTGTATTTCTTTACTAATGATTGTTAGAGACCATTCTGGTTCAAACATTCTGGGTTTTTTTTCTTCTGTTTCATTATTAGCAGAGTTCCTGATGCAAATGTTTACTTGGCCTGCTTCCAATTATCATCATATATATTTCATTGTGACAATGAGTTATATGTCAGCCATGCAGCTATGGAAAGTGATTCTAATTACATAAAACCAATTTGTTGTACTGTATAAAGAAAAACAAAAATTGTAACATTACCCAAAAATGGCAAAATGGAGGCCAGGCGGTGTTAAAACATATCACCCAACTTTTTTTTTACACTAAGGTTAAACAAACAGCACTTTGTCATATTTTTATTTTACAATTTATTACCAGATCGACACATTTCATCAAAGTGTAGTTTCCACAAAAAAGATCAATTCAGTCCGTTCATCTTTATAAAACAAAAGGCGGGTTATGTAACATTTGCTATCAATCATGTAGAAAAGCGGGTCCAGTGTAGCTCACCTCGCAAATGAAAACACATCGCCAACACAAAGGACAGCAGGCATCTGTTGGATTGATGAGGGAAAAGAGACCAAGCCATAAGCTCACTGATTCCCCGACAAGCTGTGAAAAAATCAGCAAGACCCCCAAGGGACGGCTACGAATAAACAATTACGACATTTAGTTTTACTTGCTGTGGGAGCTAGAACACTTACTTTTGGAGCATGTAACGTCCTAAAGGCCAGGACAAACCCAATCTGATTCTGCGTGCGATCCGACATTGTGCCGGACGAAGTCGTGGCGTTTAGCGCTGATTGAAGTTCGATGGGGATGATTTCCTGCAGGGGGCAGCGTAGCACCGACTGAGACAGAGCCCAGCTCTATTTTAGTCAGACTACGCAGCAATTCAGCATCAATTAATGGGTCTGACAGGAAGAGAGATGCAGTTACAAAGTAAAGCTCATCCGCTTTTGGGGAAAATCCAAAATAAAATCCGTTAATCGCAGAGAAATCAGTCCCCGAACACCAGATGTCATTCAGACGTTGGTTTTTAGGCTAAATCTGGTCGGTCAGTCATAGTCTGGATTTAGTCCAGGAATTGTTGTTGGTCGCTCTGATTTTGTCCCACTTTAGTCCAATAAGAAAATACTTTACAGATATAGTTTTCAATGTTTTTCAACAATCTTAAAATTAAGGTTGTTCACTTTTCAACCAAATATAGACCTTATTTGGATGTAAATAAAGTTGTCTTTTCACAAAATTTTTGCTCGGTGGGCAGTCAGTTTTAAAGTCACACATCTCGTTTATAGTAAGCAGGACAGACTGGAGCAAAAACAATGAATCAAACATTAAAATAGAAAACTGTCCCAATGAGGACGGAAAACGGATATTTTGTAAAATAGTAACAGATACAGCAGCCACGATACACAGGCATAACTGTTGGTTGCTGTTGCTATGGGAACTTCACAGTCTATTATTGTGCATGTTTCTGTCACAGCGCCACCAACGGGTTCAGTACATCCACCATAGCATCTCCTGTGTCGCTGCATCGTCTCATGTGAAGCTTTGTTTGCTTTTACCATTTAGAAAAGTTTGCCTTGTTTGTCTTATGTTGTTGCAGCCAAACAAAGTTGGAGCAATATGACTTTCCTTTATCGGGCTCAGACAACAGCCTTTACTATATCTCAGTTCTTTATGTGAGAAAACTCAGCTGGACACATTGAAGAATCTTGATCTGTGGTGCCCTTAACTTACCAGTATGGAAAAGCTATTGGTAGGACAAAAATCAAGTTACTTAAATGATTCTCTTTAATTCCCGCCAGCCTGGGAAAAAAGGTATTCCAATGCTTTCCAAAAAATCCCAGTACAGAACAAAACTCTTTCTCATCTCATGATTTTTCACCAAAAGACACCGCACCCAGCCTGGATATATTTATACCATACTCTAACTCAGTGGTTCCCTAATGGTGTGCCGTGGCACACTGGTGTGCCGTGAGTCAAGTGCGGGTGTGCCGTGGAATTTTGTGACAACCATGTATGGTAATTACAATACAATAACAGAAAAATAAAAAGCCTATACGGTCATATCACTACTTTTTTTGCATTAATTTTCACAAAACAGAGGCAAACTACATTAAAATAATCTAAAAAGAAAAAAAAACTCAAGGAGAACTCCCTGACCACGGAGATGCGCAGGTAGGAATTATCATCCTGTGGCGCAAGGTTTTGGAACAGGGCACGATGGACATGTTCCCGCTGGCATCAGCTGTGCCGCAGGCAGGAAAGGAGCGCGCATTATATGCCGAACACCTTCAGAGCTTAAAAGAGAGGTTTGAGCGCTACTTTCCACATGTTGCTGACGTTGAGGATTACGACTGGATTCGAGACCCATTCAACCAGGAATCCTCAACAGAAAAACTGACAATGAAAGAAAGAGAGGAGTGCGCAGAGCTCCGTGCGGACCGCACATTAAAACTCAAATTTAGTGAGCTCCCACTGGATCAGTTTTGGTTGGCTTCTGCATCAGAATACC